ATTTATGTGGTGCTGAGGAATCTAACTCAGGGTTTCATGAATGCAAGGCAAGCACTCTACCTCTGAGCCACATTCCCAGCCCCTCCATGAGACTCTTATTTCCAACGAATCACTGAAAAGCCAGAAGTAGAGCTGTAGTCAAAGGGCTAGAACACTAGCTTTGAACAATAGAGCCTAGGGATGGCATCCAGGCTGTAAGTTCAAGCCCCAGGACTGACAAAAACAACAACAGTGAACCAATCAATTGTGTGGGGTTTTTTTTGTTTTGTTTTGTTTTTTGGTTGGTTGTGGGGTATGAACTTTGGGCTTGGGCGCTGTCCTTGTGCTCTTCAGCTCAAGGTGAGCACTCTTCCGCTTGAGCCTTAGTGCCACTTCCGGTTTTCTAGTGGTTCATTGAAGATAAGAGTCTCATGGACTTTGAACCGCGATCCTCAGATCTCAGCCTCCTGCGTAGCTAGGATGGTAGGCGTGAGCCACCGGCGCCCGGCCAAACCAACCAGTTTTATGGATGGATTACCCTACCTGGGTTGGCTTCAATCTGAGATCCAGAGTTGCCAGGCATGAGCCACCGATTGCTGGCTCCAGCCTCTCCCTGGCCCCCACCGATTGCTGGCTCCAGCCTCTCCCTGGCCCTGTCTGTCATATGTGGAGATGGCTGCGGATCTGAGGACACATGGAAAAGTTGAGAGCTATAGAAAGCAGGCGATGAGCCTCAGCTCTATGAGGTTCCATCCACTGCTCGTGGCCTACGCACTCATCGGCTCTCTGACGTGCTTTATGTATTTGCCTGCAGTGGGTTTATTTCTTAATCCAATTTCCAGCTGACTTTTGAAAACTCAGAAGCGCTGGCCCCAAGGAGTCAGCTATCCTGCCGATCGGTGAGCGGGAAATCAATTGGAATTGGGTTGAACTTCTGTGGTCTAGGTGTCAGCCAGGTCAAAACAAGGTCATCAGGCCTAGGAAAGCCCTGTGAACCAGATAGGCGATATCTCCTGAGTGCCAGCCTACCTTGCTTGGGAGAGGCAAAAGGCAATAGCGCTGATGAAGAGCTTGGTGACAGACGCCTCCCTGCAGAGAGGAAGGCACCCCCCTCCCCCTCCCCCCAGGCAGCAGGCTGTGTCTTGATTGGGCCCTGAAGGCCTCTGGACCACTCGGGCCTTTGGCGGGCAGCGTGGTGGTGGTGCGCATGCGCTGGATGCCCGCGGATGCCCGGTTGTGTTCCACAGGCGGTGGTGGCAATCGCAAAGGCAAGAGCAAGAAATGGCGGCAGATGCTTCAGTTCCCCCACATCAGCCAGTGTGAGGAGCTGCGGCTCAACCTTGGTGAGTTATGGGTGAAGACTTGGGTGGGGGGCGGGATGCTGAAGCCGGTGTTGGGGGGGGTGACCCCTGCTGCTAGGGGTACCCCCCCTGCTTGCTTTTGCCCCCGTAGGGTACTGGAGGGGCCCAGTGATCAGGAAGATGGAGGGGACTCCACCCGGCTCACAGTTTCACTTCCTAGGCCTGGAATGGGCGGAGGACAGCAAGCCATCGGCGACTCTGCCGGGCATCAGTGGGAGTGGGCGGGCGTGGGCTGAGGGTGGGGCCAGGTTGGGGGCAGTCTGCAAGGAAGCCAGGCCCGCCGGACCCCTGGGCCGGGAGGAGAAGCCCCTAGCGGTAACTTGGGAGCACCCAGCCAAGCCCAGCGGGGTGATGGTATCTTCTGGCTGGGACCAGATAGGCCCCAGCCCCCAGTTCTTGTGTTCTTAGCATTGGCCCCCAAGACTGGGCACCAAGGAAGGGTGACCCAGCCTCCTCTGATGCGCAGCGTGTGGGCAGAGTGTACCCGCGGGGGGGGGAGGGGGTGCTCTGCTTCCACAGCCCGGGAAGGAGGCCCAGCCGTGAGCAGAGGAAACCACAGCTTCCTCTCGCACTTTCGCCAGGCAGGCAACAGGTGTGGGTCGTAGGCCTGGCCTAGCCCCGGCTGGTCCGGAACCTTCCAGACCACACCCAAACCCCAGATCGGTGACATAGGCAAGTCTGTGAGAACCAAGGAGGCAACCAGGGGAGGAAGGCCTGAGCCCTGGAGCCTAGATTCCTGGCTGGTTGACGTCGAACTTAACTTCTTAACCTCTCTGGGCCTTCTACTCCTGAACCCAGTTGGGACTCACCATCGTAGTGCCCACTTTAGGGAGATGATGCCACACTGCTAGGCTCGGAGCAGTTGGGGGTCCAGGGGGGCTTGGTGGTGTGGAAGGCCCGGTTACCAGTGACCCTCAGGTCTGTGACCCCATCTCTACCTACAGAGCGAGACTACCACAGCCTGTGTGAACGGCAGCCCATTGGGCGCCTGCTTTTCCGGGAGTTCTGCGCCACGAGGCCCGAGCTGACCCGCTGCACTGCCTTTCTGGATGGGGTGGTGAGTGCGGCCCTTCCCGTGCTCCAGCCCAGCGGCCAGGCCAGGCAGAGATCCCGGATCCGAAGTTCCCCCTGGCTCCCCCAAACACACACACACACACACAGCTGTGGCTTTGCCCAGCCTCCACCTCCTCTGCCTCCTCTACCGCAGGCCGAGTACGAAGTGACCCCCGATGACAAGAGGAAGGCATGCGGGCGGCGGCTCATGCAGAATTTTCTGAGCCATACGGTGAGGATGGACATGGACAGCCGCAGGGTCTCAGGCACAAAGGCGGGGGGGATGTAGGGGAGCGGGGGGGCAGGCAGAGGCCAAGCATCTGCCTAACCAGCTCTGCCTCCAGAGAGAGGAAACAACAGCTGGGCACCAGCGGCTCAGGCCTGTCATCCTGGCTACTCAGGAGGCTGAGATCTGAGGATCGAGGTTCAAAGCCAGCCTGGGCAGGAAAGTCCCAGAGACTCTCCATCTCCAGTGAACCACCAGAAAACCGGAAGTGGCACTGTGGCTCAAAGTGGTAGAGAGCTCACCTTGAGCTGAAGAGCTCAGGGACAGCGCCCAGGCCCTGAGTTCAAACCCCATGACCAACCCAAACAAAAGATGAAGGTGACAGAAAGGGAGTCTAGCCACCAGCCAGCTGAGGCACTTACCTGCCCCATGGATTTCCCTGGCACCCATTGGCACTGACCTGTCTCTGGTTTGTCCCCAGGGTCCTGACCTCATCCCCGAGGTCCCTCGGCAGTTGGTCACTAATTGTGCTCAGCGGCTGGAGCAGGGACCTTGTAAAGACCTCTTCCAGGAGCTGACCCGGTAAGTCTTCCTGCCCACCAGCTTGGAGCTAGGCTGGGGAAAGGGGCTTTGGCAGGCCTCGGCTTTGTCCCTGCTTTTGACCTTGACAATGTCCCCTGGCAGTCCCAAGCATCCTCAAGCTCGGGGATGCTGGCGACTCCTGCTGACTTGGCATAGCGGGAGGGATGGTCCAGGATGAGGCTTGGTGGGTTGAGTATGAGCATCAAGGAGGCCTGACTCATCGAGCTGAGAATCGAGGGCCCGTGGCTGACCTGCAGCCGGTCTTTCCTTCACCAGGCTGACCCATGAGTACCTAAGCGTGGCCCCTTTTGCTGACTACCTCGATAGCATCTACTTCAATCGTTTTCTGCAGTGGAAATGGCTGGAAAGGTGAGCTCCCCTCAGGCTGGCTAGGAAAGGCCAGGTCACCAGGCTCAAGTGGTAGAGCGCTCGCCTTGAGCTGAAGAGCTGAGGGACAGCGCCCAGGCCCAGAGTTCAAGCCCCATGACCACCACCACCACCAAATCTTTT